AACTTATTTTTTCTTATTGAAGCTATATATTGTTTACTATTTTATAGATGTGCTGCAAATTATCATGGTAATTTACGATTTCTAGTATGCATACTGGAATAACTTCATCTTTCAAGTTCTATACCCTATTCATTTTTCTTGGGAAGAGCTGTGTGTTTTTTATATATACCTGCAAATCTTAACCAAGACATGTGAGGATGGTATCCCACAATTTTTTTCTTTTGTGTCTGCATGGTCAATGAGAATTCTGGGGGTATGAAATTAATTGCCTTGTGGACATGTATGTGTACATCTGTGTGTTTGTATCTCACAAGGTTGTGGTCTTTTGAACTAATTCATATTGATTACGACTTTGATTATTTAACACTACATATTTTTGTCCTCTCCCACTCTCGCATTTTGTTGAATATTGGGTGTATTTTTTACTGAAGTTCTGTTATAATATTCAATGTTTAACAAACAATTGAACAAGGATTCGGTTATTTTCTGTGATTTATTAACGTGCATATGTTTAAGAATGAGTCGTTAAAGAAGTAAAAAATTTGTGGCTTATGTTAAGCATATTTATAAATTTTACCCAGAATCTATAAAATTCATTGAAATCTATAAAATCCATGAAAATCTTTTAAAATCTACAAAATAGAAATCCATTCAAATCTTATGAAATCTATTAAATTCTATCAAATTTCACACAATCCATGAGAATTTATAAATATTAAGAAATCTATTAAATTCTGAAATGGGGACACCCTCGTAAAATTTTTCAGTAATAAAAGTGACTTTTACATATATCAAATCGAATTAAAGGGTATCCCATCCAAACATGCACCATCCTGAAAACCCTTTACAAAACCCCAGTTGGCCAGTTCTAATTTGTTCCCCAATTTTACTTCTCAATATCTCCGTCTGCAATCCCTAATTTTCGATTTTCTTAGATGGTCGTTCTTTCTTCACCATTTTCACAAGGAAAAGATGTCCACGTCCGTTTTTCTTCTGTTCTTTGCAGTCATGCCGATGCTATTGGCTCAAACGACGCCGCATTTAAGCTCCGGCCCTCACATTGCGGACGTCAACATTCTGTTACCTCCCAAAATGACTCATCCTGTTGAGTACAGACTTCAAGGCAGTGATGGTTGCTTCAAATGGTATTACAGATTGCTTCCCCTGTTTTTTGTCTTTGATTTTTTTTATTTTTTTTTCCAAAATTTTCAAATAATAGCAAATATTTTGTGTGTGTGTGTGTGTGTGTGTAGGTCATGGGATCACCATGATATACTGTCGGTGGTGCCGGAGTATAATTCAAGCAGTTATTGTTCGACGAGTGCTAGATTGAAATCCACGGCTCCTTATAGTGGTAGAAAGGAAACTGCTGTTTATGCCACTGATGTCAATACCGGAATGGTGATTCGTTGCAAGGTTTATATTGATATAATGTCTAGGATTCAGATATTCCATAACTCTGTCAAACTTGACCTCGACGGGCTCGCCACTCTTCGCGTACGTGCCTTTGACAGTGAAGGTATTTTCTGAAAATATTACTGGTCTCATAGTTGTTGTAAGTTTTGTCTTGTTGTCTTGATAAATTTTCTCGGTTTTATGAGATTTTTGTACTGTAAGAGTTAGCTTCCTAGAGAGTAGTGATGGATGTATCCTGATAGTTTCAACTTTCAAGTTTCTGAGGTGCCTCAAACAGTGAAATCCTGGATTTAATTTGTTTAGAAGTTTATGTCATAGACTACTCAGTGTATTCGCTCCCATGTTTTTCTTTGTAAAACAATGTTGGATAATTTTTTGCCTTTTAAATTGATGTGTTGCAGACAATGTGTTTTCCTCATTAGTGGGATTGCAGTTCAATTGGCAACTGACGCCAGAAACTGATAAATTTCCTCATCACCTTGTCCATGTTCCTCTTAAGGACTCTCCATTGAGTGATTGTGGTGGCTTGTGCGGTGACTTAGATATCCAGGTAAAGCTTGAAAATAGTGGTGTATTTTCAGACCTGTATGTAGTGAAAGGGACTGAAATTGGCCATGAAATCGTTTCTGTTCATTTGATGGAACCGTCATTCGGGCACATGGCGGATAAGATTGTTTTGACAGTAGCAGAAGCAATGTCTCTCGATCCTCCCTCGCCTGTTTTTGTTCTAATTGGTGCTGTTGTCCGTTATACTCTTAAGGTTATTCGTGGCAATATTCCTCAAGTGGTAAGTTTACCATCTCCATTTCATCGGTGGTATGTTTTGAACTCTTCCGTTGCCCACGTGGAGAGAGAGATGGGGGGAACTCGTGCTTTGAACTTAGGAGTAACAACAGTTACAGTTGAAGACACCAGGGTCGTTGGGCACATACAGATGTCATCACTCCACGTTGTCATCCCAGATACTTTGGTGTTGTTTATATTACCTCTTTCTCCTTCTGGTGCTACTATTGAGGGGATAGAACCTATTCCATCTGCGTCACGCTGGTACATTATCTCTGGCAAACAATATCTCATTCATGTGAAGGTTTTTACACCAGGACCTGGGGCAAAAGAAATTTATATAACAGAGAGTGATGATATTAAGTTGCATGCTGACCAGTATGAGTTCTGGAATATTCTCCCAGTTTCTGAAGGTACTACTGCTGAAGGAGATTATAGAATTTTGAGAGCAAATTCATATGGATTGGGAAGACTGATGGCAACTTTGACTTATACCAGTGGACAAGCCACAAGAAAAGAGGTTCTGAAGCTTGTTCAAGAAGTTATGGTCTGTGATCAAGTGAAATTCAGTATGGAGAAAATAGGTGGCCCCTCCGATGCAATTCTCCTCCCCTGGGTCCCCGGTGTCTACCAGGAGTTAGAGCTTAAGGCAACTGGAGGTTGTGCAATGTCTTCCAGTGACTATAAATGGATTTCTTCGGATATGGTTGTTGTGTCTGTATCTGCTTCTGGGATGGTCGAGGCAAAAAAGCCTGGGAAAGCAACTATCAAAGTAGTTTCTATCTTCGATTCATTGAATTATGATGAGATGATTATTGAAGTTTCCATCCCCTCTTCAATGGTTATGCTTCCTTACTTTCCTGTTGAGACACTTGTTGGATCATATCTTCAAGCTTCTGTAACATTACAAGGATCAGGTGGCTCGTATTTCTATACCTGTGATGCTTTCAGGTCCTTTGTAAGATGGAAAACTGAAAGTGAGCATTTCACAATCATTAATACAACAGTGGAATCATTTGTTTATAACAAGCAAGATGCCGTTGAGATCAATTCCTCATCATATGGCCCTCCATGTGCAACAGCAGTAATATACGCTTCTAATCCTGGTCGCACTTTGCTGCATGCAACATTGAGTCAAGAATATCAGCAGTTCGACCGTGCTAGTAGTGGGTCAATCATCTTAAAAGCGTCCTCTTGTATTGCTGCATATTTACAACTCATTGTGCAGCAGGCCAGTGATGGAAACCAATTTGGTGGTTACTCGAATGATTTAAGCCAGATTGAAGCTCAGAATCAGTTGGAAAATTTGGACTCTCTATATCTCACCCCTGGCACTCACTTGGACGTGACGCTTCAAGGTGGACCGGAACGGTGGGATCAAGGTGTTGAATTCATTGAAGTTGTGGAAGCTTTAGATGAACATAATTCTTATGTGACAAATAGAGTTGTAATCTGTCAACTGTTAACCGTCAATAACAATGCATACAGAATACAATGCCAAAGTTTGGGAAGCTTTAAACTCATATTCAGACGTGGAAACATGATGGGGGATGGCCACCAATTGCCTGCTGTAGAGGAAGTGCAATTGTTGCTTATGTGTAGCTTTCCATCTTCCATTGTGCTAATAGCTGATGAAGCAGTGAATTCGCCTCAAGTTATACAGTCTGCAGTTCAGGCTGAACGCAAGCCTGAAGGAGTTCGTGCCATGCCAATTACTGTAGCAAACGGTCGCAGAATACGAATATCAGCGGTTGGCATTAGTTATTCTGGAAAACCTTTTGCAAATGCGTCTTCTCTCTGTTTGAGGTGGGAACTCGTTGAATGTGAAGGATTGGTGTCTATAGATGATGCCTATAGTTCATCAGCAACCAAGTCCTCTTGGGAAAGGTTTTTTATCTTGCGAAATACATCAGGACTCTGTGTCATTCGCTCTACTGTTATTGGGCTCATTGATTCTCTTGATCACCATGATTTTGCTAAAATGTTTGAAGGTTTTGCAAGTGCTCTTACAGATGCCATACAATTGCAGCTTGTTTCTTCTCTTAGAGTCAATCCAGAACTTGGCCTGCTGTTTTTCAGTCCTGATGCCACGTTGAATCTCTCAATCACTGGAGGGAGTGGTTTCTTGGAGACTAGGGTGAATGATACTCAAATTGTGGAAGTAATACAACCCTCACCAGGTTTCCAGGGTTCACAACTGACACTGGCTCCCAAAAGCTTGGGGCCTGTTCTTTTGACTGTTCTTGATATTGGGATTGCACCTCCAATAGCTGCATCTTCTGTGGTCCAAGTTGCTGATGTGGACTGGATCAAGATTACAGTAGCATCAGAGATAAGCCTTGTTGAAGGAAGTTTGCAGTCTATCGGTTTTTTGGCTGGGATTAGTGATGGACGTACTTTTGACTCTTCTCAGTACGTTTACATGAAAGTTCGTGTTCATATTGACGATCATATAGTTGACCTTGTGGACAGTAATGGTTTCTCAAGACCTATTGATGGATATCTGAACGGCCAGAATTTTACCATACAGGCTACTCGTCTTGGGGTGACAACCATATATCTTAGCACGGTCCAGCATTCTGGGAATGAAATATTGACTCAACCAGTTAAGGTGGAAGTCTATGCTCCACCAAGATTGCACCCTAGCAATATATTCCTTGTACCAGGTGCATCTTATGTGCTTGCAGTAAAAGGAGGGCCAAAAATTGGTTCATACGTTGAGTATGCCAGTATGAATGATGAAACTGCAAAAGTTCACAAGTCTTCAGGACTATTGTCTGCAATATCACTGGGAAACACTACATTGGTTGCCACAATATTTTCTAATGGAGGTATAATGCTTTGTCAAGCATATGGCAAGGTTGAAGTAGGGATCCCATCTACAGCTTTGTTGAATGTTCAAAGCAAGCAAGTCGCTGTTGGCCGCTGGATGCCAATTCATCCTTCTCTATCTCAGGGAAATTTGTTTTCGTTTTATGAGCTCTGTAAAGATTTCGTGTGGAAGATAGAAGATGAAGAGGTTTTGAGTTTTCAAGTGGAAAACAACTTACACGTTAAGGAGCATAAACAAATTAGATCTTCTGGTTACTTAGATGAGAACGATCTTAATTTTATTCAAATGCTCTATGGAAGATCTGCTGGCAAGACAAATGTTACTGTTACATTCTCCTGTAATTTTATATCTTCTAATTTGGA